AGTCGCCAGCTTCTGGACGGCCGCTCACTGCGGCTGCTGGCCACTCACGCTGGCTGCTGGCTACACACGGTAACCCATGGCAACCCACTGCCACAGGGACTGCAGCCCACGCCGTCGCCGGCGACTCACAGCAGCCCAGCTCCAGGTTGAGCTGTTGTTCAGCATGTTAGCTGTGGAGGGCAGTGCCACTGGCCCTCATATGTGGGATCCGAACCGGGGTCCTCTGGCATCCCAAGCGAGTTCTTAACCATCACACCACTCGGCCGGCCCACAAGGTCTGTTTCTTAATCTGGGTGCTGGTTACATGAGTGTGTTGACTTTACAAAAACTCACAGAGCTTTATACTTATGATTCATACTCTTTTTTGTATGTACATTACTATGCCTCAATAATACATTAAAATGAGAAAAAAAGAAATTGGGTTTTTCTAACACAGCAATTGATAATCGTTAGTAAATATTTTCTTAAAACAGGAAAACAAATATGTATCACTGAACACAGCTTCTCTGAAAACACATCACTCCAACACACACACACACACACACACACACACCCAACACACACAAAAACTCTCTTTCCAATTCCCAAAGAGTCTGAATCAAGAGATACAAGTGACTTTCTCTGAAACCACAGCCATGCCACAGTAAGTTAACAGCTATTAAATCCATTTTCAGAGGATTCTAGAAACATCAACAGAAACCTATTCTAAGTCACTGTGCTTGCCATCAATCCAAAGATGAGGAGGGAAACATCCTTGGGTCATACTAGTTAAGATCTTGTGTACAGAAGGGGCCCCTAAATCGAAGGAAAAGCTGACAGACCACACCAATAGGAATAAATGATAAACCTATGACTGCACGGCCTCTTCACCTGTATAAGCAGCCCTCACAAGCAGTCTATGCCTTGCATGTCACTGGCTTGTCTGATCCTTCACTGGACTAGTGAGGACAACAGGAGGTGCCATCACATTTCAACCTAGCCCTGTGAAACAGCCATTTTACAGAGAGAGGGAAAGTCAACTCCAAGAGGTGAAGCGAAGAGTCCTTTCCTCCCTTGTGGTAGACCCAGGACTGGAGTCCAAGTCTTCAGGATCTGGGACCAGTTTCTTCCCGCCATACCACAGGATTGCAGCTCACTGACAGCCTTTTCTACAATATTTGCTCTGTGTTTTTCCACCTTCCAGTTAACATGTGCCATTGACCTCATCTTTCTCTTTCTGCCAGCCCTTGGGTATGATTTTAGTCTCCATTTAATTTATATTTTGTCCAAAGCAAAAAACAGAAACATAAGGGAAACCCATGGATGAAAAAGATATGACACATAACAACCAATCTATCACAGAGAACCTTATTTGTATCCCAATTCAAACAACACTATAAAAAACACAGTATGACATTTATGAGACAACTGAAAATTTTAACACTAGATATTTGAT